ACACAGACTTGTTTCACAGATCTTTTTTTTCCATAGTAAGAAGTAGCTTTTTGTGAAGGTAAAAAAGTTGAAATTATCAGTTATAGGCTAGCTACACTATGTGTGTAATGTAAAATCATGTGTGTGCGGTTAGCTAACCAATTGAAGATCCAGGCATAGGGGTATGCTTACCTATATACCTTATGCATCCAGGCCTCCCTCCCCTGTTAAGGCTGCACTGCCCAAATTGCAATTGCCAGCTGTCGCTTCCACAGCTGAGCCCTAGGCCGAGTCAGTAGTGCTGGCAGAAGCTACTGTATGAACTGTGTTTGTAGGCTTTAGTCAAAATACATTGCAACAATTTAATTATTACAATATATTTTTTTACCATTTATATGCCATATTTTTTATATTTTAACTTTGTTTAATCATTGCTCAATTTAGTTGCACTGCATTAAAAAAATAAATTTTTTGAAGATTACAAAAATACAAAATTTGCTATTGTATCAGAAATGTTAGCATTATTATAAATGGGCCAAATGCCACCATAAAATGTGAACTTTAGATCTATAGGTTCAGTAGTCTTTTTGGCTTCAGAATACAGAGACTACAGTGAAAACAAAATCATTTTAACACAACACTATTACTAATAGAAAGATTTTGCCCCAAAGAACAATGATACACCTGACTGGTATATCCCCAAATTAAATATTGCTCTGATCCATAAGGGGCATACAGGTATGAGAGTTGAAGTGATTAAATAGGACTCTTTATTTGCCTTGACTTATAAGCATATCAAGAGTATGATATTCATTTGGTTTTTTTTACTCTAATTGAATTGATTTTTTTTTTTTTTACAAACAGCGCATTTTAAAGTTGTGAATAATTATCAAATGGGCCCTAAAAATGGTTTTGCCATGTAGTATTAACTATTTTGATTACAGATATTCCAAAGATCAAATTGATGGTCAATATACAGTAACAAATTGATTAGCCTTGTTAGAGGCAAAGGTGTTTTTCTGTCTCAGGATGAATGAGTTTTTGTACAGATCGCTCATTCTTAGGCCCCGTTCACACCTTTACGTTTTGTCGCGCGTTCAACGCTCTATGAACGCTCAACAAAACGTACAAACATGAAAATCTCATTGTTTTCTATGGGTCTGGTTCACACCTTTCCGTATTTCCGCCCGTATGAAACGCCCTACAAAACGGCCTACGCTCAAACAGGTACATGTACTTCTTTGGCCCGTTTTGTAGGGCGTTTTGTAGGGCGTTTTACATTGGGATACAGCCAAGTAGCCTTCGGGGTCGCGCAACTTTTTTACCGCGAATCGCAGTAAAAAAAACCGCGCTACACGCGCATATTCAATACGCCTAGGTGTGAACCCAGCCTAAATGTAAGTTAACTATGACAATAATAGCCCCTGTATCTCTCTCATGACTATATAACTTTAAATTAACTGTAATCAGCTTGCATTAGAATAAAAAGCTATGAACAAGGTTTCTGAGTTAACAGTGCCATCTTGTGTACTGTACAAGAATTTCAGTTAAGCCATGTGGTTTTTGAAAAATAAATGTCTTGCAGAAAAATATGCATTTAAAAAAATGTGAAGTGCTGTTGTTAAAGCAGACCTTCACCTGTAGTTTTTTGCCCCTGGTTCCTCCCTCTTCCACCATTGGAGAAGGTTTGCTCTTTTTTTTTTTAAAGGTTTATTACCTTTTCTGTGCTGCAGCCCAACACTATTTTCTTTCTCACCTAAGTAAGAAGGAAGTTGGGACTCACTGTTGCCTCCTGGGATATCCACGTCACACATCCCAGCAAGCAGATTTACTAAGTGGCGCATGTGCCCCACAAGATTCTATACATGGGCAGACATGGCACTGCTCTCTGCCAGGTACTTGACACCTGACAAAGAACAACAGCAATGTCTTTGCACATGCAGGTCTCTACAAAGTCCCAGATGCCAGAAATTAGTAGCTGTGCGCTCATGTGCAGGTCTTTGGGATCTGGCAGAGACCTGTGTCACATCAGCACATGCGCGGGATATTTGAAGTTGGCAACACGGAAACAGCCACAGGGGTGAAGTTCCTCTCGAAGATAAATTGCTTGATGTTTAACCCATAACCTTGATGTTTTCCAGATATGTGCTCCAATGTTTATTGGTATTTTTTTTTCTATAATACTATTTTATAGATGTCCTTAGCTAGCCTGTATTGTGGACTTATACGGTCAAATTAATAGTACTGAAAAATAGTACTGACAAATAAAAACAAGGATGCTCATCGTCCTCTTCACTTTTGACAAATTCTATAGAATCATCAGCCCATAGGATTAGACAGAACACAGGCCTGACAATTCAAGAGACCTTATATAAGATTCCCTTTTTGGCAGACAAGGTCCTCCTTCTGTCCAACTCCACCATTTTCCTTCCAAATTTTCATTTCATCATATGGCAAGGCAAGCTTGGTTTTTTTGCACCAACTACTTTTTATACAACCATAACTTCACCCACCTTGTTAAAATAACAATGCACTCCCTACAGAAACGGGTAAACTATATTTTATGGTCATGAATATCTATTGAACTGTCTTTTATGCCTACATTGCTATACTTGTTTGCCACCCTCCCTGTTGCAATTCCCATAGCATGTTTCATTTCAAACAAAAAAAGCTTTTCTTTTTACTTTATTTGGAACTGTCACAAACCATACGTTAAACTATAAATCCTATCACCAAATCACGAAATCATTGGGATAGCGCCTATTTTATATTTGTCAGATGGCATAACTTCGGGCAAATATTTAAAAATTGCTACTTGCTCTTTTTCTAGAAACACTAAAACTGAAGTTTTTCCACTCTTTGTAATTTCAAGGAGAGGTCTTGAGCTGGGTGGGGAAGTCATGTTTACAAAAATTAACCGTGTTTGTACCAGGCTATTAGATCTCATTATCAGTTGTAAACTGGATTTGAACACTGTCTTAACAAAGACCTAAAAACATTGCATGTTATTGAGAGGAAATGCAGCCAGCCCCTTTTGCCTTAGGAACAGACTCACAAACTGTTCAGAATAGCCTGCAGTCTGGCTAAAGGCCTCCTCCAAAGAAACAGTTAAAAGGTAAGAAATATGTTTTAGGTATACTGTGAGACATATAGTGGGGTTTTTTCAAATTTGACTGCAAAAGTGGAAACACACTTTGGAGTATATGTAAACTTCTCTTATTTGCTCCATTTTGGTCTGCTAACAATACAATTGAAAGGGTTTAGTTATATCTATTCGTCTTCAGTTTGTTTTATTAGGTTTTCAAAGTGCAGTGTATACAGAACCAGTCTAGCAACAATTGCACAGTGGAGTAACAATACGCCTGAACGTCAGGCGGCATAGATCACAGTACATTGAACAGCAAAAGGGGGGGGGGATTGGGGTAGTTATATCTATTCAATAAAAGCAAATAACTGACACCATCGGGGTTATTCACACAGGAACCGAAGGATATAGCCATAGGTTCGGCTAATCCTTCGCCTCACTTCAGCCGCCGGAGGTCTGATGTATGCGCTATTCACACTAGCCCGTACAGCAGCCGAAGCATTTGCAGTGAAGCAGTGAGAACAGTCTGCTGAAGCAGTTTAGGTCTGGTAGGAATTTTAAAAGGGAACCCCACCAAACGAGCGAGTCCCCCCATCCCTGCACCATACAAAGCCACATGCCCTCTGCATTGGGAGGGTGCTTTGCCCCTCTTCTCCACACTCTTCTCTGACCCTGTGGTTGTGAGGGTCTGTGGACAGGGGGTCTTATTTGCATAGGGGTACCCCCTTTCATATAGGGGGCACCCAGATTCCCCCCCGCCCCATGTGAATGAGGGAAGGGCTACTCATTCCCTAAAGGGTTACATTCAAATTCAAATGTAAATAAACACACCAGACCTGTAGAAAAAGAAATGGCCACCAGCCACTGTCAAAATACCCAAACAGAGTTGGCTACTAGCTCCATTCTGCCGAGAAATTTCCAAAAAGCTCCTTCGATCAGCTGATCAAGGGATGCTAGGCGGAAGGGTGCCAACAACGGCACATACGCAGCACATTTCAGCCAGTTCATCAAGAAGCGTGTATACCCGGCTTTAGCATGCTACAACCTCTCCTTAATAACAATTGTTTGGCCAGGACCAGAACTATTAAAGTCTTTCTGCTTTTAGGTGCCTGTGTGCATTATAAATTGTGTCACTAAAATCAGCAAGAAATCACTGCATTATACATGCCTGGACTGACCGTGGCAATTACTGATATAGCTAGGTCAACATATCTCAAATGAACAGAGAAATATGCATACCAATGGAGACTAGTCCAATTAAGCTCATTATCCTTGGAGCTCTGAGCTGCATCAGCAATAGACAAGTTTACAAACAAGCTGTGCTTCTGCTGCTTTGTCAAAGTGAGATTAGTATTTTAACCAAAAGTTACATGCTGTACAAGAACAGATATCATTGTTTAAATAAAGTACTGGTTAATAATAAATTAGTGATTAATGTCCATAGTTTCAGGAGGAGTCTTTAAGAAAATACATATATGGGTAATAAAGAAGGAAGCCGTTTTCTAGCCAAAAATTCAGATGTTATCATGTGTGTGCATATGTTAGAAACTGCTCCGGACAGCAAGTGGTTAAAAGAAATTTTTTTCTTACCTTAGTAAATAAGCTGAAGCTGTGCTTATTTCTATCATTCAATTGTGAAAGGAAAAACCCATTTTGTAATTTGCAAAGTGAATTTTCACTAAGGTAAGGGAAAGTTCCCTTGCAATGTGAAAATTCGCTTTGCAAAATGAACATGCTCTACTCTTTTTTTTGTCACCCTTTCCCATTGCTGTTGGGTCATTGCTATGATGGGTTGCCTCACTGTCCAATAGGGATGTGCAGGAGGTAGGAAGGAAGTGCTGAACAATTGTCTGTCAAAGTTTCACAGCATTTAAAGAACACAGTTTTGTTTTTATATTAAATATTTTATCCCCCCCCTCCAGCCAAAAAAACTGACCAGGGTACTCACTTATTACATTAAGCAGACTACTCTTCCCCGCATTGGTTGCTCCTGCTAGAACCACCTGCACTCCATCTCTCAGTCTCTCTCCTCGGCGGTTGTCCTTGAGATGATCCTCCAGCTCTTTCTGAAGTTTTTCCACTTCTTCATCAACTGACAATTCAGATGAGTTACATTAAAGACTTTCTCAAACAGACCTTACTACTCATCTTATTTCTGCAATTGCATTTTGTTATTTGCACCACTTTATAGCTTGACCAACAGCATTACATAACATGGTGGCACTTTATGAATGAACAATATACAAGTAAATGTTAAACGGCATATTTAATTTAAAGACAACCCACAGTTTAAAGGTAAAATATTGAACAAAAATATGCAAGGTCTAGGAGTTGCACTTAAGCAATAGAAAGCAGTCAAACATAAGTGTGCTATGGAAAAGATGACTACGTTTTATAAGCAACGAACTACAGATTAAAATTATACTGCATGAAAAAAATTGTTAGGAGATTACAGTACTGTCCAGGTGTGCTACTGGACTGTATAGGTCATCATCTGAAAACTTTTCAAGTGTTGATAGCAAGAAAATTCAAATTTTTTTTATCATAGGACCCACATGTTTACATTTGTATATGTTAATATACTGTATATTACTGTATTTTAGATGCATATCTAGTGGAAAATCAGATTAAAAAATGGGGGGTTAGCTGACCCCTGCATGTAAAAGCTGATCCGACTTGGCAGACTGGTACAACAGTGGTTTGTCTGGTTAAAATAAATTATACATGTTCATAATGTTGTGTATTATTTGACTCATATAGTACTGTACTTAGCCCACTTCCTTGATGCTAAATATGATAACACTAACATATGTGCCATACCCTTTGTACACAATATATTACAATAACATAGACAGAATTCTTGTGGATACCTGCAGGCAGAACACCTTCTTCAATGTTGTCATCCTCACTAAAATCTATAAAGGCTTCAACATGAGCCAATGCCTGATTAAGAAAGGAAAAGACACAAAAAATATTAAACCAAGTTCAGCATGGCAAGATAGAGGTCTGTGTATAAAAAGCTTTTATAAAGTACAAATGTACAAATTGTTATAGCCTCATGATCAATAGAGTTAGCAACCAGTAGGATTAACTTGTCCATGCAACAATAACCAAATGCAAGGTGGAATCTGATTCCATGCTATGGGCAAGAACAGTGCTGCATTTAACACTTTGGTATTTAAGCCTATGATGGTTTCTCATAACATAAGAAAATTATGGGAACGTAATGTATAAGAAAATTATGCAAATTAAATCAGGGTGGCTCAAAATGAGTAAATAAGTGTTTCTGTATTTTCTTTGACTAGGGAAAGAGCACAAAGAGCGTAGCAGTCTTTCTACAGCGGTTGGACACCCACTATTGAGTCAGATCTACAGCACTGAAATCAGCAGGGAGAATGAGCATTGAGATTCAGGACCATTGTTATCCTTGTTTAACAGTAACAGTGGTACACCCCTAGCACAAATAGTAAGGAGGAATAGATCAAAATACTGCATGTACACCACTGTGACCATTGATTGTGGATCGTGCTGGGTACCAGAAGTCATCTGACCCGTTCAAGGATGGGCAGATATTTTCCCACTCTTCATTGCTGAAATCATATCTACCTGTCTATGTCTATGCAGAAACAAACTGAGCTTATCTTGACAGTTATTAATACCTGATATAAAGATGATATACAAATGACCACTAAAAGGAACAATTATAACTCTTAACAGATATAAATCACATCATGGAACATTACAAAAAAGCAATGTGAAAGCTATGTCAAAATGACGTTCAAATAAATGTCATCATAATAAAACAAAATGTGTATTCTTTCAATATACATAGTAGTTTCCTTTTAAGCAGAGAATGCAATAAAATCAAAGACGACACAGGAACAAGTACATTTCTAACCCGGATTAATCGATGACTCCATCTCTGATATAGTTGTCCAAGCTCTCCAGACATCTGCCGTAAAGCTTGCCGCCTTTGAATTTCAGTCTCTGCATGGATAAGATCCCCCAGACCTTCTACTTCAGTTAGATCCAGCTTTCCATTTTGAAAAGCCCTCTTTGTAAATTCGCCTGGCTCTGCAGGACGAAGTGTTTTTAGATGTCCTTGGGAGGAAAAAAAAGTTACAGTTTGATTTTGAATACTTTGCCTACATCAATGTACTTGCTGCTTTCATAACTCCATAAAAACGTAGATGTAGCGGGGCCAGTTCATTGGTAGCAATATACAATCTTCATCAAGGGAACCACAGGTATTATCTTGTTGCCATGTCTAGGCAATGTTGCAGTTCAGAATAAATTAGATTTTGCTAGCTTTTTCTATTTCTGCAATGCAAATTAAATTTACCCAGTTTGTACATTTGCAATGAATACACTAAAACATGCAAGGGTATAATTTTCAAATGGAAACCAACCTGATAGAATAGTAACATTCTTAATACACTTTCAGCTTCACTGAACAAAAAGTTCTTATTGTTAATTCTGAAGTGCAAAAGTGCAACTGATCAGAATCTGTCATGTACTGGTCTGACTTCACTAGGTAAATTCTGACTGGCTACTGTGAGTTACTGCACTTAAAAGGAGAACTATGGGGTTAGGGCTTTTCCCCATAGTTCTCCTAGAAGTAACAGGAGGACACAAACTAGCGTCCTCCCGTTAACTAAAGCTCAGTATACAGCGAGCTACAGCTTGCAGTATACTGAGACGCCACAGCCGGAACGGATCCCGACAATTATGTCTGGATCCACCCAGCTGCGTGAGTGACAGCTGGCTCTGCCTATCTAGAGGCAGAGCCAGCTGTACCCGCCCCCTCCCCCGTCTGTTCCGCCAGCCAGCGCTGGAAGATCGGATAGGGGAGGGGGGGAATCCCTGCAGGGAGCTGTGAGTGACAGTCACGGCTCTCTGCAGGGATAGATCGAGAAGTGAGCGAGCGCCGCTATGTGTTCGGTCACTTCCCGATCTACTGAGCCGACCTGTGACAGTTTCATTGTCACAGGTCGGCTCAGATTATGAGGCTGAGTGGAAATCACTCACCTCATAATTCTCCTTTAAAGCAGATTTAAACTGTTTAGAGATCAGCAAAAAATGTCTGACTGCATCAACAGTCTGTGAGCCGGTTTAAATCAGGTAAGCTTAATGCCTCAATTTTGTGGGAAAGTAGTACCTAGAGCAGGGGCGCCCACAAATTTTCGTCTGGAGATCTACTTTTCAAATGACGAGCTCAATGAGATCTACCAACGAAAAAAACACCTGCATTTAGGGGCGGGAGGGGGGCGTGGCAGTGCATTGAAGTAAATGGCACCGCAGCCAGGCTACACAGGTAGGCCCCTCGCCCACAGTGCGATCGCCTGCATTAGGGCCTGTGATCCAGTCTAGTGCGATCTGCAAAAATTCTGCGAGCACTATTTTTGCAGATCGCACTGGACCGGAATGCAGGCACAAATGTGCCTGCGTTCCGGTGCGGGTGATCGCACTGTGGGCGATGCCATTGACTTCAATAAAGCCCCACATCCCCTCCCGCACCTGAACGCAGGGAGTCGGCCGACTTACATTCCAGTGCGCCCTAGAGGTCCCGGCGTCCTGTCCTCCCGTGGTGCTCGTGTGGCCGACATTGCACATGGGGAGAGGTGTCCTGCCCCTTTTCCATCTGCAGCGTCTGACACATTCAGCTGGCAGCCACATGAGCACCACGGGAGCATAGCCGTAGCCAGCTCCTTTTGCACCTGAGTCAAGAAAAAAAAAAAATTTTTTTCATTTTTTTTTAACTATTTTTAGTTTATTTTCATTATTTCTTTTTAATGAATTTTAATTTGTGTTATTTTTAATTTTTTTTTAACTTTGGGGATGGGGCTTTGGGGAAATATCAGGGGTCTAAAACAGTCCTCAATCTCTTTTTCTGCAGCCGCTATTCTAAATGAATGGAAAGCACAGAGGCTTCCCATTCATTCAGAAACTATTTACTATCAAGCAGTATGCCCTCCCCCGCCGGCTGCAGGTTCCTTCACTTCTTCTCTGATCCCCGCTGCATTCAGATGGGGAGAGCAGCGGGGATCCAGAGAAGCCCCACTGGGGGAGGAGAGACATCGCGATCTACCAGTGATCACTACGTGATCGACTGGTAGATATCGATCGACCTTGTAGGCACCCCTGACCTAGAGCATGATCATAGACAAAGAGCAGTGGGACCTGTGTCCCTCAATAAACTCTAAGACAATGATTTCCTGGTACAAAAATCCCATCTTTCTCATCTATTGAAGGACACAGGAATTTAGAGATTAGAAATTTACAGGAATTTAGAGATTATTAGGACATCCATACAAAGTACAACTGAGGGGTAGGCAGGAGCAAAATCGACAATGGGCCCGCAGAAAAACATAATTAGAGGCTGCCTGCAGTTCAAAGAGCTGCCTGAAGGTGCTTATGCCCAAAACTGGCATGAAGCCTGAACATCCACCCCTCAAAGAGCATGCAAAGCAAGCACTTTTTGCATGCAGTTCTGCAGTCCAACATTTTAACCAAAGAGTCCTCCTCATGTTCACAATTAGGAGACTGATATGGGATATGAGACAGGAGACCTCTAACAACCTATCCATGCAGTAGTTTAAGGCTAAATTCACACTATAGTGTGGAATTGTGTTTTGGGTTTCCTGCGGCAGAAACCTACAAATTCCTGTGGAATATAATGGTATATGGGATTCCTGAATTGTAGGTTGAATTCGTAGGTTCCTGCCGCAGGAATTCCAAAACGCACATCCACATATAGTGTGAATGAACCCTAAGACTGCAGGCATGAGCTCCAAGCGCTCTATAAGCAAGATCAGCTTGAACAATAACCAGATTCCTTCTTCTGGCCTTAGCCCAGTCAACTATAGTTTGGTAGACTAGTGTCATGTTCAAGACAGGTTGCAAAGTAGGGCCTGACAGACAAAATAGTTTTAGAAAAGGGCCTCCGATTGTGAGGGGGTCCTTAAACCCAGGAATATCCTTCACAGGGATCACCAAGGCTTTATTAAAAGGGGATACTGCCAGATACACAGCAGGGGCAGTTCACTTTTTAACAACATCCTCCTGAAATAGGTACAGGGCTGCCAGCTGTTTTAAAGTAGTGAACAGGTTTTCAGGGTTCTCCCAGTCTCCTCAAGGGATGACTGCAAACAGCGGGTGCACAGCAAAGGTCTGGCAGTCTTGGGGTCCTAAAGTAGCCTAGATTGGGGACAGCACTTGTAGCAGCTGCAGGCTGATCCTCAAGATTTAAAGTAGAGCGAATTCAGAAACAAAAGTTGTTCTTTGAACTCAATTTCCCCATGGAATGCAAAGGGGTGGGGAGATTAATGGTACCACAATTAACCCTGTCTGTACTGTGGTGACAAATCTCATTATCAGTTGTAAAACAAAATTTGAACACCACCTGCCCTGAAAAATGTTTAAAGATCTAGGCGCATTGAATGTTAATGAGAGGGAGCTCAGTCTGTCCCTAGTCTTTGGTACAGTCAGAGCTTCCTGTTACTGAAATTGAAAAACTTGCAAAGGCCTGCTACACAAAACAAATGTAAAACAATTATTTTTAGATATCATGTGTGAATATTGAACACAAACATATTGGGGGGGGGTTTCTTCATTTTGACTTTAAAAGTGGAAATACACTTTAAGCTATAGCCATTCTCTTTGTATGAAGCCAACAAAAACCCTTCTGCTTAAGTTAGTCTGAAACAAAGGCATTCAAATTCTCCGGTCTTAATTATTTGGAATGGTTGATATAGACCAGTAGGGTCAGAGCGTACTCGTAAAGCACAGATTGATATGACGTCAGTGCTGACCTTGTTCACAGGTCTACACTATGCAAGCTAAATACATGAGATTTTAGTTATTAAGCATTTTTACTGGGTACATGTATCTGGCTGCATTTGTTAGTATTTTTTTGTATTTGTTAGTCATTTTGTCTTATAAATTCATACTTTACCTTGAAAAAGGTAATAGACCATGCAAACTTGAGCATAATATGAACAATTACTGGAAAATAAGCAGCAAATAAATTATCACAACCACTGAAAGTAAATGTGTATTTCCATAAAAATCCTACCCAGAGCTTGTAGTATGCCACCGACCACAGCTGGTCCACCATGTACATGGTATTCACAGCAATCTTCTCCTGTGAAGCTGCGTGGACCTAATAAAAGAATAGGTTAAAATAACAGCAGTATAATAAAAAAGTCAGATAACATATTAGGTGCAAGAATAATGCAGTCTTCTAAATCTTCACATTATGTGATTCTATAAGTGTTGCAGGGGGGAGTACCAGTCTAAGTGCCATTCCTTATTTTCCAAAAATAATTCACTTGGAGTAACCCTTTTCCTTCAAATTACAATTAAGCCCCTATACCTATATTAGCTGCAGTAGTCATGTCTGTAAAATGACAGCACAGGCATTTGCTCACCTGAAAACCACACCACCAGTCCCCTGTCTAATAGCTCCCCAGAGTTTGGACACATAATCGATGCAAGTGTGACTTGCCGCGGAATAGGTAATATCTGCAATTTAGTTAAAAGATGCAGTGCCTCCTGACTGGCAGGGCCACTGGTTCGAATCACTGCCACACCACATTTTCCATGGCCAGAGGACAGGGCAAATATAGTATCTCTCGAATCATGATGTCTCCACTTTTTCAGAGACCTGTAAAACACAAGATAAAATTAGTTATTATATTTGTTCAATAATAACATTTTTATTGCTTCGCTCCAAAACAACCTTTTCAGATACAAAACAAAAGTGAACATACAAAACAGCATGTATCTGGCTTACCTAAGCCATAAAACTTTGACAGCACAGTGTGATGTGTGTTTGTATTTTGTGTGTAACAAAGCAGAACTGCAGGCTAATTATTAAAAATTTAGTTATATAATCATTCAATGTATTCATAAAATACTGCTAGTATAACAACCTGAAGTCTATTCTTATACAAAATTTTGCCCAATAGAATTTAGTATGTGCCAGGACTAAAACTGGCCATACACCTTGCGGCCTCTTTCACATGGCATTCCAATCAGATCAGCCTTGTCAGGTGGATCTATACAGAAACCCAATGTAACTCTATGGGCAGCCAGATGTAAACGGACATGCGTCCAACTGCCCATGGGTCCAGTTAGGTCTTGTGAAGGAAGAAAAAACTGAATGGACACGGATGTCAAAAAAGTGACATCCATTCTGTACTGCTCTAATGGTCAAGAGGGCAAGTTGTATGAGGGGCCGCTTCCATGGGAGTGCGGAGACCCCACAGTACTATTATGGTATGTTTTTTTTTGTCTGTTTGTTAATTTCAACTTACAGGGTCGCTGTCCCTTTAAGAAGACTCTGCAGCCTCGTGAGGAATTTGGGGCGGGAAATCCTCTTCTGGAAGCTTCTCCAGAAGCAGAATTTCTCTTGGATCAGTGTCCAGTTGGCTGACCACAGCACAAGCAAGATTTGGCTATAATACATAGAGCTATAATACTTGGCTGGCTGTGCTTGGGGTTTAGACATGAAGATGCTGATCCGGAGAGTCTTGGAGAAAGCCCAGAGCACCAGCGGAGAGGATTGGCTACACCAGTGGCTCGAAGCGACCGAAGAGTCTTCTCAGCATCCAGCGGAGGAAGAAGTACCTCCGTCCAACCTCCGTTCACTGGTTGATGTTAACAAAAATTAATACAATTTCTTGTCTGCTACAGCAGAGGACTGAAAGAAAGATGCTATTCAATTCTTTATTTGTAAACAAAGTGGTGGGATACAGAGATAATTCACATCGTATCTGGGCCACATGGCCGCACATTAAACCAAGGCAATGAACAAAAAAGAAAGATGCTAAATGTACACTAAGCAAGTTGAAAAACTGATGGTCCAGATGCTTAATATTTAAGCTCGCCAGTAAAATCTTAAAAACATGGATTTTCGGAACGTTTGCTCAATTTTCTAATAGTTAATGGGGTCAAATCAATGATTGTTTTCGAGTGCAGTGGCGAAACAGTGTATGGCAATCTTCACTTACACAATGGTATCCGAGTTGCAGCTGCAAAGGTACAGGCAAAGTAGCACCAAAAGTGCAAATACATCTACTGACAACTGACTAATAACTGCAGGACATACACTGCTATCTTTAAGTCAAATGTTGATAACTTCTCCTTACAACAATAAAGCAATTTACTTGTGGTAGACCTGTACTAAGCAACATAACTACCAAATATTGGATGCTAGAAATAAATGTATTAATTTCTGCAAAGGTATTAAAAACAGGTTAGTGAAAATGCATACAGTAACATAACACATTCTACTCTGTTAAAATAATTAGTGTGCCATCACTTCGAATTGCTTCTGCAGAATGTTTTGCCCTTAGAAAGATATGTGTAGCCAACAGAATAACATAGAATTGCCATTGTATAGATAATGTGTATAATTAGCAGTTGTAAAGTACATGGCTAGAATTTATTAACAAAATAGCCAAGCGTTTGCATAGAAACGTTTGTTAACCTGCTGACTATGTTTATTGTTTTATTTAAATTATTAATGTTTACTACATGAAAAAGCCTATGGTATTAATATTAATGATTTACTAAAATATATGTTTTAATAATTAACAACAAAAACCATTAGCATCAATTTGCTACATACATGTCAATCAGAATGTAACACAATCAGAGACTATTAGATGGATTGATTTCAAATGAATAGTTTATATAATTGTCAGTTATAACTGCTAACCTCCTCGAGTTAAGAGTAAGATTAATAACTTTAGGCAGTTATAACTTATTGATAAACCAAAATAGCATTCCTGGCTGATGCTCAAATCTCACAGAGATGATTGTTACTAAAGTGGGTACTCATTGGGGATGATTTATAAACCTACAGCTCAATTCAGAAGAATTTGAAAAGCCCAAGTATCTACTAGTGTAACTCATGAGAATTTCCAGTTGTTCCAATTAATTTTTCAAGTTCTATGAAATAAGGTTTATATTATTTTCTACTTTGTCACATTAAAAACTCATAAGACCTTGAAAAAGCTAAGATTGTTTGAGTGTTACTTTAGACTGCAGCGGGAGGTCTTGCTTGCAAAAGATTTTCATATTGCTAGTAAGAACAATGCCCCATGCTTTACCAGTATTTAAAACCCTGCAAGATTCATCAAAATTTTCCAGTATGGTCAGGACCTAAAGGAAAGACTCGTGATGTGGTTTCTACTCATGCAGAAGATCTTTGGAGACTGGCATCTGACAGTGTACCCAATTACACAAATAATAAGGGATTGTTTTTCAGAATCCACTGACACCAATGCTGGGTGTTTATTGCTGCACCCACTGGCACCAGTGGTTAGGGTTTACTGTGGAATCCACTGACACCAATGCTGGGGTTTATTTCTGCACCTATTGACACCAATGCTGGGTGGTTATTGCTGCACCTATTGACACCCATACTGGGGTATGTTGATGCACCTATTGACGTCAATACTGGGGTTTATTGCTGCAGCTATTGACACCAATGCTCGGGGTTTATTTTTGCATCCACAGACACCAGGGATGAGGGTTCATTGCTGCACGACATTGACAACAATGCTTGGGGTTTATTGTTGCATTCACAGACACAAAAGATGAGGGTTCATTGCTGCACCCATTGACACCAATGCTGGGGGATATCACTACATCCAGTAGGAAGGGTTTGGGGATAGGAGAAGGCAGGAGGGCACAATCCATCCATCCAAGCTCTGGTTGCAATTTACATAACAGTGCACCTCATGTTTTGGGGCTAAGAAAGCAATGATCATATGTGCAGGCAATTAGAGACAAAAGTATACATTATTGCACATAAATGGATTTACATAAAGCTGTTCTTTTTCACATGTTTTTACATACGCAACAAATATTACAGTTCCCCTTTAACAAATCGCATATACTCTGATCAGAGAAGCACAGAATATATAATGCAGTCAAGCATAGATAATTTTTTCAATCTGCCAAATTCCTTGTTCAGTTTAATTTCTGTGTGGCACTATGTCTCCTGTAATATGACCTTATATTTTTTCAAGGAAGTCAATCAGACCTGACATACTTCAGCAGCTCTTATTAGCTTCTGAAGATCGCATTAACTGTACTGCTGCTCGAGACATAGATAATCATAGTAACAAAAAGTTTTCCAAAGTCTATCTGGAAGAAATGGGTTAAATCACTCCAATTCCCCGACCAGCTTAAGCTCAAAAAAGGTTTAATCTATCACTGGGAGAATTTACACATTCAAATGCTTATCTATGTCCTTAAGCCCTGAAAGAGATATTTCCTTAACCTTCCACTGAATCATCATTTCCTTAATCCCAGCCCTTCATCCTACCATAAAACATTAAAAGGGATTAGTACCAGAAACCTATATTTCCCCCTGTTTCTAGGCATATATTACACTCAAACAATCTGTAGTGTATCAAACGAGTATAGACAAAAAGCGCAGAGGACAATCACTCCTCAGAAGGGTATAATGATGTGCACACTGCAGGATGCTGCCCCACTTCAGCCAGGGGGGCTGTGGTATCTAGAAAAAAAAGCACAAAGAGGGGGGCGCCTTTCCTAGTGCAGATGCGTTTTATTCAAATAAACAATATAAAAAAAGGTAAACAATAAAAAGGGGTACTCGCAAGAGTAAATGGATAAACATCATGGGACTGTAAGCCAGAATGAGGCAAGTGGAAATCAGCAAAGCAGTTCCTATGTGCCGGTATAGAGATCTGCGTTGACGCGTTTCGTCAGAACATCGGAAACACGGCAACGCAGATATCTTCACTGGCACATAGGAACTGCTTTGCTGATTTCCACTTGTCTTATTCTGACTTACAGTCCCATGATTTTTGGTTATTTACTCTTGTGAATACCCCTTTTTATTGTTTACCTGTATTTGAATAAAACTTATCTGCACTAGGAAAGGCACCCCCGTCTTTGTGCTTTAATCTTTGAAGAAAAAGTCTGAAATAATCAATGCATTCTTGGTTATAAACATTTCAATATACTTTCTTTATTATCGTCAAGAGTAGACTATAACATTATGCTTTTAGTAAGGTAAATATTATATATTGAAACTTTTCATTTTTATTTCCAGCCGGCAAGCGGAGTTTTATGCTGCATTGCACATTACCTTCCAGGCTGTTACCTACTGTACTCTGTTATTTACAGAGCTCAGTTATGCAAGCTCTAAATTATACATACAACCAAATGAGTCATGGGAGCGATTTACCCCCACACCACACACTTGCTGCCTGCTTTGTTCAGATGAGGGCATATGGAGATTCAATTAGTGAGAGACTTTCTAAAATTAAGCAGCTACTGCTGTGCTCTTTATTTGGAAAACCCATAATGCTCTACGATACTGTATTATTGGTACAGCCTGTGTTAGAAGAGGATTTCTAAAACAAAAATATTAATAGTAAAAACAGATAAAAAATATTTTTGATGGGTTTCGATGGGTTACAAGACGAAGAATTAAATGTGAAGGGTTTTAAAAAAAGTTCTCACACCTAGTGAGGTCTATGATAGAGGTGCACCGAAATGAAAATGTCAATAGCGAAACGAAACCGAAATTAAAAAAAAATGTCAGGCCTAAACCTTTTTTAAAAATGTTGAATATATTATTTATTTTTCATAAATTTTCTAATTTTTTTGTATTTTATT